CCATCGGGTCAAAGGACACATGCTAATGTTTCACAAACATCATGGCGGGTCTGTTTTTTTTTACCAAAGCGATTGAGTGATCAAAAATAATTGCTCCCGATAAAAATAAGTCAGATTTTACTTTAATTTCATACCAAAAAAAAAGAAGTAACATTTATTGAGGAATTATTGGTATAACCGGTGTATAACATCGCCAAGTAAGTTAAGTCACGTCGTAACTTTGATGATCGTTTTGAAGTTTTATTTGTTCGCTCATTACTGTAAATGTAAACGTTTTAGAAGTTGATGGTACGAATAATAAATTACAACAATACGCCAATTTATTATGTGGTCGATTTTTTGAAGGTGAATGTTTTTGGAGTAAATAAAATCATGAAATTCGTGAACATATTTCTGGCTTAATGTTTTGAATGCGTTTTATTCAACGTTTTACAATAGACAATTAAACTGCAACAATAATTTATTTGTGTTTGTTCTTAGTCTGCAGCATCAGTATTTCGAGAATGTTTCAAACTCTTCTAAATTGTGAAACATAATGTGTTGATTCCATTAAAAAGAATATTTGCACTGTGACTGAGCTCATTAATATTCATAATTGTAAATGAAAGTATGTATGTGACATGCAAATTATTATGCAAATTAATATGCAAATTAGTTGCAGCGCTATGTATTTTTTCTGGGGAGAACCCTGTTTATCGACTAAGTAATAATCTTGCCCAACAACTGTAGTGTCGTGGGGGAATGATTTTTTTCAGGTCAAATCTTGACCGAACCTAAACTGCTTGCTAACTGAAAGGCTGTGATGATTGCGATTGCGGCTACACCAAGTACTGATAACATAAAAACCCAAACAAAAGGTATATTTTTAATGTCTTCATGCAATTTATTCTGAGTAATCTACTTTGTTCTGGCCCGCGAATTAATGGAATACAATTTTAAACATGTTTTTGAACGCCGCAAATTAAAAGGATACATTTAAAAATTAGCGTTCGACTTTTTACGGTAGTATTTGTTTTACATCATTATTCTTTTGTTTACGATCCTTCAGCATAAGTTCACACCTTTCCGTTGTCACTTTAGTGTGGTACGATAGAGGGTTTACGTCTTTTCGCCGACATGTTTGCTTTCACACGGCAGTGTTAGCGCCTTTTAGCACTTTTTGTCGGTATACTTTATCGTGATTTCTGCTTATTGCTGATCCAATCATATCTTTGAATTCTGTTTTAAAAGATGACCCATTTGCCATGGAAAACCCCTCTTACTCGAGTTTCTACTCAGTGAACAGTGAACTCAGTGGCTTATACACCGTCCTGCAAACGGAAAATCCTGTCTGTTGAAGATAAACTCTGTATCATCAATCCTCTCAGCCTTGTCACGTGAATTCCCAAGAGTAGCATATCGACATTCAAAGAAAGGGAAAGGAGTTGTCACGTGAATTTGGCATTCCCAAAAGTAGCATATCGACATTCAAAGCGAAGGGAAAGGAGGTGTCACGTGAATTCCCAAGAGTAGCATATCGACATTCAAAGAAAGGGAAAGGAGCTGTCACGTGAATTTGGCATTCCCAAGAGTAGCATATCGACATTCAAAACGAAGGGAAAGGAGTTGTCACGTGAATTTGGCATTCCCAAGAGTAGCATATCGACATTCAAAACGAAGGGAAAGGAGTTGTCACGTGAATTTGGCATTCCCAAGAGTAGCATATCAACATTCAAAGCGAAGGGAAAGGAGCTGTCACATGAATTTGGCATTCCCAAGAGTAGCATATCAACATTCAAAGCGAAGGGAAAGGAGTTGTGAGCTTTTGTTCACAACTGTAGTCAGCAGGAAGGTCTGAAGCAAAGGAAAATGCGAACGCCAAATGACTGCGATCTTGATCAGGCAGTTTATTTAAGGTTTGAACAACAACGGACAGCCAACATCCCTGTTTCCAGTCCCATGTTTATGGAAAAAGCAATCACGTTATCCAAAGACATGCCTGGTTCTGATTCCAGTTTTACTGGCTTTATCGGTGGAAGAATCGATATGGTGTCCACGCTCTGAAAATTTCCTGTGAAGATAAATCCTGCAATGACACGGCGGCTGCCGAGTTCATTCCAGCACTCTGTGTCATTGTCGAGTCAGAAGCATACTGTCTGATCAAATTTACAATGCCGGACTTCTTTTCAAATGTTTACCCGACAGAACATTAGCTTTGAAAAAAGAGAACAGAGTGACAGGATACAAGCAGTATAAAGATCGTGTAACAATTCTTGTTGGTACAAACGTGTCAGGGGAACACAAACTGCGTCCCCTGTGCAATGGCAAGTTTCAGAACCCACGCTGCATGAAACACGTGAACCGAGAAACTTTACCCCTCGGTTACAGTCACAGCAAAAATGCTCGGATGACATCAGAACTTTTCAAGAATTGGTTTCACGAAGAATTTGTTCCATCGGTACGATCATTTCTTCACTGGCATGATTTGAAGCAGAAGGCAATTCTATTGCTTGACAATCAATCGCCCATCTTGATGTCACTAAACTTTGTACACAAGACAGCAAGATTCATACAGTTTTTCTTCCGAAAAGCACAACAAGTAAAATACAGCCAATGGACGCAGGAATTATTTCTGCACTGAAGAAATGCTATCGCAAAAAACTGCTTCACGAAATCGTTACCCGGGTTGTCATAAATTTGCAAGATTATTTGAAAACTTTGGACATCAAGGAAATGATCTACGTCACCGGTGAAGCTTGTAGTGAGGTGACGTCATCAATGGTAAACAAGTGTTGGAAAAAAAGCCTGGGGCCCGCCATTTTCCCAGTCAATGACCACTTGGAAAATGATGATGATTCAGAGTTGGATGAAGACGACATCCCATTGTCAGAGATTTGCAGCACATCGAAGAGGTCAGTGGCGAAAACCTAGAGGATATTGTCAGAGAGTGGGTAAATATCGACAGTGAATTTCAAGTGAATTCCAGTGATGTTCAAGTGACTTGTTCAATGTCAGACGAAGAAATCATTTCAGCAGTACGCGATTCACCCACTGATACATCGTGTGAAAGTGACATTGACGATTCCCATGACAATAAAGAAATTCCTGCAACGATCAAAGTTGTTAACAGACTTGAGACAGCACTTGCTTGGTTTGAAGGACAATTAATTGATAGCATTAAAATTTTGCAACTTCAACAATTATTATCGTTTGCACGTAAAGAAAATGCTATTTCCAAGCGGAAACAAACCAAGATCACAAGCTTTTTCAACCAGTAAAGTGACGAACTTTTGGTGATCATGAATATGTTTAAATTACTCTAACATTTACATTGAATGTTTTTAATGTATTTGGAATTGAATTTACGGAATACATGCACAAGCTTTGTAACTTTTTTTAATTTTATTCGTAACATGTAACGATAGTAGAATAAAATGAAACAACGCAACTGCAATGGCTTTATTGTTTTACATATGAATAGGTGTCGATCCTGGGTGTCAATACGAGCAATGAATATGTTATTCAGTATAAGGAACACTTCAATATAACAAACTAAATGACTGTCTCCTGAGGTGTTCGTTATAATGAAGTTACAGTGTACTAAACTATACCTTTAGTTTCTGGATCAATGACATTTCCTCTGATAAAGGTTTTACCACGAGTGGATGTTGACTCAGAAAAAGCTGCAACAAACTCTTCATAAACTTTAGCTGCTGCTT